TCTTACTCCAGCTGTAACGTAAGGGTAGTAGTACACGTGATAAAGCTCTACTCAACGTGGGTTCTTCATTATGTGAAAGCGGGTAGAAAAATTGCGCGTATAACATCAGTTCAATGAACATACAATGATGTCATATGCCGAACTAAACTTTGTTAAATCTGCTAGAAACGAGTTCTCGTAACACCAAACCCCCACCAGGTGATAGAATGACAATCACCAGGCGGGGGGCCACACCGAGTTGGCGAACATTCAGGTTTCACCTTTATGGGCAAGATCTGAATGATTCACACGCATTTAAATAGGCGCTCATAAAAAGGGCGTTTTGTTGTTTTTTAACGAATTGACAAATACGATACGCTAAGCTTTCAAGTAGTTGCTTACAAAACTTAATTTTAATTTTTTCAGTGGGCCAGGTGAGAGTCAGGTGGTGGGGGCGCGCCGAGCTTTCTTGGGCGTGCAGGCCGTATATATATTGAACTGTTTTGTACTCAGACCGTGCTGTGTATGACCCGACGGAGCCTCGCGGAATAATAGACTCCAGTCTAGCCTGGGGTGTGGGCTCTCTCTCTCTCTATCTCTCTCTCTCTCTCTCTCTCTCTCTCGCGCTATCTATTTTTGTCTCTCTGTTTCCCTGTGTTTGTCTCTCTCTCTCTCTCTGTCTGTCTCTGTCTCTCTTTCACTGTCTCGCTGTCTTTCTCTCTTTCACTCTCCCGCTTTTTTTCTTTCTTCACCGCGCCTACCCCACACGCTCTGCTAGTCTACACTGTGTTATTTCTACGTTTCACTAACTTGTCCACGAAATGCGATGTCAAACCAATAACGTCAAGTGTGCGTTCTTGCCGGTCAAAAGCAGTGGCGAGCAAGTTCGAGGTCGCCCCACCACGCCTCTCACACACCTTTCCCTAGACCACAACATGTTTCGCTACCAGGTTGCCAGTGAAAGGCGGTGAACTGGAAGCTCAGGTGCGTGGTACACCCTACCAATGCGGAGCGGCAGTGTTTAGGTGCGGGGCCGCGTAGATGATCGGTGATAGCTGGTGATGGCTGGTGATAGCTAGCGGTATTAACACGTTATTTTGTCACGCGCGTTCGTATTGCTTCCGGTGTGCCGACAGGACACTGTCGGCGAACTAGTTTCGGGGTTCGTAAACACGAAAATTGCAGGCACTTGGTCGCCCTTTTTGTTTGAAAAAGTCATCGATCAGTTTCAGAAGGACATGTTGCGATCGCGTAGATATGCCGTATAGGGGGCGTGTACGCGCGTGTATATGTCTGTGATGCGAGGTCAAAGGGAAATCACCTTAAGGGAGTCACTGAATCGAATAGTTATGAGGCATTAACTTCACAGAGCATACTTCAAAGAAATACTGTTGGTATGAACAGCAGTAAGTTCCGCACCGATAATGAATGTAACTGAAGGTTGATGCTTTTATTCACATTCACGCGCGAATTCTAAAAATACAAAAATCTTGCTGAAGTGGAACTGGAATTGAGAGTACGATTTTATGGAGTTGTATGAATTGAACAATTCCAGTTATGGAGGGATTCAGTGGCTACATTTGCACCATGATGAACCGAGCTATTGCGTACGAATGTTATTGTAAAAGCGTCTGCAAGACAACATAATATACTATAATAATTCGTATTTATTCCGCGGTATTAATGACAAAACTCTTGAAATCATGCGAATTTTAAAATCTTGAAATCATGCGAATTTTAAAAACTGGAAGTAGATATAATACTGCCGTCAGAATAACGTAAATACACGTGCATGAGCGCGTATTATTTTCTCCCGCCATTACATTATTAGTGCATAGTAGTTTTCTTTGCATAGCGCGTGGTATTAGCTGTACGGATCATCTCTGACTCTGTACTCGCTACATAAGCGTGCGTGCCGTGGAATATACTGTGGTGCTGACGATATACCAGCGGTAGATAGAGAGAAAGGGAAGTTCTCATCGTTGCCGCCCATGCGAGTATGCCCCATGTCGCTGTCGTATTCTGCGTCCTCTCTCGTATGCTCACCCGTATACGGTCACCTGTGCGGTACTAGTGTGGGGGAGGGGCAAGGGTAGGCGGTGGCGGGTATTGAACCTGCTCTGCATCATTATACACTCGCCCCCACCCCATCTCTGACTATTGTTGCCGCAGTGGTGGCGCGGTCAGAGGTACCTGCCGGCGGATACGCGAATTAACGCAAGGGTGGATCCACGCTCTGCATGGAAATACTCCACGCCTGTGATCGCTGACGGTAACTGGTCGCTGGCACGCAACCTATGGAAATTTAATGAGGAAGACGGGTCTTCCCGGTGATAGTTTTGTATGGTAAATATGGTGATGAATACGATGAGAGACTCGGCAAAGTAGAAGCGGCCAATTTGTGTCGGCTATATACACTGACTGTGAACGCACACGTGAGAGTCGCCGCCCGTTTGTAGTCAAACTGTATATCACTTCCCCTAGTAGTGAAAATTCTACAAGATTACCATTAACATAATAGAATTAAATGGCAGGAGAAGTTCATTGGACAGCCATCTTAAGTAGGCCTACTACATTCTTTCAAATGACAAAAATTGAAATTGCTTATTTAATGTCTCATCTGCATTGATGGTAATTATCGAGAGGCTATATAGGTATCAATTGTTGACTGCAATCCACCATGCACATCTCTCTCTCTCTCTCTCTCTCTCTCTCTCGCTCTCTCTCTCTCTCTCTCTCTCTCTCTCTCT